GAAGCATGAGAGAACAATAGTTTCTATAGAACAAAAGCACCGCCGTGCTCTAAAACATATAAGTGAAGCACTTTTGCAAAAACTATATAGCTCAAAAAATATAAGTGAAGCACATAGAGTATTCTAATAAATTCCGAATCATGTGTGTCTCTCTCAAAAGGTGTGTACAGCAAGGATGATTGTGGTAAACTAACAAAAAAAGACTCAAATCATACAAGACGCTCCAAGCAAAACACTTATCATGTGGTGAATAAAAATATAGCTCCAAGTAAATTTACCGATGGATGAGGACGAAAGAGGGGATGCCTTCCGAAGAATCCCCAAGCTTTGGCTTTGGTGTCCTTAGATTATCTTGGGGTGCCATGGGCATCCCCAAGCTTAGGCTCTTGCCACTCCTTGTTCCATACTCCATCAAAGCTTTACCCAAAACTTGAAAACTTCACAACACAAAACTTAACAGAAAATATCGTGAGCTCCGTTAGCGAAAGAAAACAAAACACCACTTCAAGGTACTGTATTGAACTCATTATTTATTTATATTGGTGTTAAACCTAATGTATTCCAACTTCTCTATGGTTTATAAACTATTTTACTAGCCATAGTTTCATCAAAATAAGCAAACAACACACGAAAAACAGAATCGGTCAAAAAACAGAACAGTCTGTAGTAATCTGTAATTAACGCAAACTTCTCGAACTCCAAAACTTCTACCAAAATAGGAAGACCTAGACAATTTGTTTATTGATCTTCTGCAATTGGAATCAGTATTTTATCACGTTCTAGTGATTTTTAACAATTGTTTTCGTGAACAGAAAGTTTCTGGAATTTTCAGCAAGATCAAATAACTATCATCCAAGAAGATCCTATAGGTTTAACTTGGCACAAACACTAATTAAAACATAAAAACAAATCTAACCAGAGGCTAGATCAAAGATTTATTCCTAAACAGAAGCAAAAAGCAAAAATAAAATAAAATTGGGTTGCCTCCCAACAAGCGCAATCGTTTAACGCCCCTAACTAGGCATTGATAATTTCGATGATGCTCACATGAAAGACAGGAATTGAAGCACAAAGAGAGCATCTTAAAACACGTGACAAACACATCTAAGTCTAACATACTTCATATGTATAGGCATCTTATAGGAAAATAAATTATCATAGCAAGCAAAAACTAGCATATGCAAGGAAGTGGAAAGAAACAATAGCAATCTCAACATAACGAGAGGTAATTTTGTAACATGAAAATTTCTCCAACCATATTTTCCTCTCTCATAATAATTACATGTAGGATCATATTCAAATTCAATAATATAGCTATCACATAATATCTTAATGCGATCAACATGTATGCAAAGTTGACACTCTTCCAAAATAGTGAGACTAACATTAACTAAAGTCATGACCTCTCCAAACCCACTTTTATCAAAAACTTCATAAGATTGAACATTCTCCAAATATGTGGGATCTAAAGTTGACACTCTTCCAAACCCACTTTCAATATTATTGCAAACATTATTATCAATCTCATATTTATCATGGGGCTTAAATAAATTTTCAAGATCAGAAGAAGAATCACCCCAATCATGATAATTGCAACAAGTAGTGGACATAGAAAAACTAGCATCCCCAAGCTTAAGGTGTTGCATATTATTAGCACAATTGACATTAATATAATTTATAATAACATCATTGCAATCATGCTTTTTATTCAAAGATCTATCGTGAATCACTTCATAAGTTTCTTCTTTCAACACTTCATCACAATTTTTAGATTCACGAATTTCAAGCAAAACCTCATAAAGATAATCTAGTGCACAAAATTCACTAGAAATAGGTTCATCATAATTGGATCTCTTAAAGAGATTAGCAAGTGGATGAGGATCCATAAACTTTTAGCAAGCGAAGATGCAAGCAAATGGACGGCACATGGTAACACGAGCAAACAGAAGGACGAACGGAAGAGGGGCACATGGAAATGGAGGCATGTCCCCGGCCTCTGCATCATGATGATGCATGCAGCCATCTTATTAACAATCCACAAAGTATCATCATAAAAGTCTTACTATCATTTATGCCAATGTTATCGACTAAATGATTTATGCCACTGTTGATATATGAAACTTCTGTTTCCATTCATTCTTCATCAAGTTTATATTTATTTCTCTGATATTGCCTTGTAGATATGGTTAGCAGTTTTTCTGGTGTCAAGCAAGTCCAATCTGCAGTACGGCCAACGCCTCCACAAACGAAAATATTTCCAGCAGGCCAGGGTAAGCCATGCAAGCTATTACTATAAAATTCATAGTCACTCATCAGCTATACTCTTTTGGCATGTTGCATATTTTTATTTGACAGGTCAAAAAAATATATGTGATCTTTAACAGACTGCAACTGAATTCACACACCCCCATTGTACCCTTCAGATTCTCTAGGTAATGTGGAACGAGAGAATACAAATGAGGTCGACATCATATTATTGTGTATATGGTTTGGGGAAGCAATGAACCTTCTCTGCATCCATGAACCCGAAATAGTTTTTTGTTTTGTCATGCTTTCTGATTTATGTTTTCTTTCTGCATATATATCTTCCATGACCACAGACTACATATTTCAAACCATTTCAAAGCAGCTGAACTCTATAGCTGAATTAGACTACCACTAAATTTGAACTATTTTTTGTTTCCTTTTTTGATACCATATGTCAAAATGAGCTGCCAACTCTCAGTTCTAGCCTATTTATGTTTTCACTTTGTGTATAGAACTTTAACGACCACACGCTAAATATTTCACAACGTTTCAAAATAAATGGTCTCTCTATCTGAATTGTACTACCACTAAACTTGAGCGATTTTGTTTCCCTTTTTTGATCCTATATGTCAAGATGAGCTGCTAGCTCATCTGCGACACAAATGAAGAAACAATACAAAGATGTCAAGTTAAAGTACTTTTATTTGTATCAACAATCTTCCATATTTTCTTAACTGTGACGGTATACTCTCTGCAATTTAGGACACTCATCTGCTATTCAAATGAAGGAACATACGAAGTGGTCAAGTTAAAGTAGTTTTTCTTAATAATCTTCTCCCTTTCTTAATTGCGATGTTATACTCTTTACAATTAAGTCTGATGGGCTGCTGATTTCTACTAATGTGTTTTATTAGTTTTCTTGTATATCTTCAGGAGATCGAAGAGCATAGCATACCTTCTGTTCAATTTGATGACTACTTCCAGTGAATCAAGAATAAAGTACTCGCTCCGATCCTAAATGTAAGTCCTTTTAGAGATTCCAATATTGACTACATACAGAGCAAAATGAGTGAATCTACACTCCAAAATGCGTCTATATACATCCGTATGTAGTCTGTACTGAAATCTCTAAAGACTTATACTTAGAAATGGAGGGAGTAGTTAATTACAAGTCATATCTAACTATTCAGGAGCTTAAGTTGCCATTGCAAAGTTTGTAGTGTCATCATAGATGGCTAGCCATTGTCAACATTATTATTTGAAAAAAAAAATTGGTAAAGTCAAGCAAGAAAGCTACCCTGCATTACACTTATATGTTTTTTTTGGGGAAATGACACTTATTTGTTATATTCAATGTTCTTTCAAGTTAGGGCATTAGATTTCCTATTAAATATATTCCACAAAGCAAACACCTTCAGCTGTATAGGGAGTTTCAGAAACATTCTTTTTTGTGAAAGTGCAAACCTTCGGATATTTCTACCTTGGCTGGAAACTTCGTAAATCTGTTAGCACAACATGTAAGTGTTTCTTGTGCTGGTGCTAATCAGGCCTCGGCTAACTCTCCTGAGCCGTTCTAATATGCAACACGGAATATACAAATTGCATCATGGTCTATTATGTACATGTAGGTGAAGTCACTTGGAAATAATTTAATTTTACGACACTGTATCTAAAAACATTGCCATCACAGTGTTAGGATTCTCATTACATTGACCTATATAGATGAAAACATGCATAAACGCAGAAATGAACCAGACTGAGTTTGTGTGAAGGAAATAAATGAGTCTATTGTCCGCAACTAGATGTATTTCTAAATAAATCAACTTGCTGATGCCAAGACGATAGACTTAGGAATCTTGATAGTATATTAGTGTTTTCTCTTACAGACAAGAAGAACTACTCAACAAATTAACGTACAAGAGTGGAGCAATACTAGTGGTACTACAAATGACACACCGCTACTGCAAGACGGCAGCAAAATAGAACTGGTTGTTCAATCGCTGTTCAGGCAATCCATCTCAACAACCAAACAGGTAGCGGAGCATCAAATGAAGTGTAGACTCCCTATGAATGCTAGCGGAGCATCAAATGAAGTGTAGACTCCCTATGAATGCTGGCGGAGCATCAAATGAAGGGTACACTCCCTATGAATGCTGTAGTCCGCCAATGTGCGGCCGTCCTCCAGCTGCTTTCCTTGAAAGATGAGGCGCTGCTGTTTAGGGAAAGGGTCGTACTTCATGTCGTACATCTTCACCTTGACACTGCCGACGGTGTCCAAGCTACCAACCCAAAGAGTGATGGTCTTCCCATCCAGCGTCCTCACGAAGACCTGCATCATGTCTCCTCTCGAAATACACGGGAGGAGGACAAGGAGAAGGGTGGACTCATTCCCAATGTTGTGGCCAGCCATGGTGCGGTTCCCGTCGTCCAGCCGCGTGCTGGCAAAAACGAGGCACTGCTGAGCCTTCAAGAAGCCCTCAAGGTCCTGGATCTTGGCTTTCAAGTTATCGACGGTGTCTAGACTGCTGACGTTGATCGTGATAGTCATGCCCGCCACCGTCTCTGTCACGTAAATCTTCATGTTCATCTTCTCGTGGAGGTCGATCGTGGATTCATGCTGGATGTTGTAATTGGCCAATGTAAGCCTGTCATCCAGCTGCACGCCACCAAAGAAGAGGGAGTACTGTTCCTGGATCATCTTTGCCTTGACATCACGCACGGTGTCCGATGGGTAGACGCTCAGGGGGATCGTGCTGCCGGTGGGGTTCTTGATGAGGACATCCATTCTGAATGAGCAAAGCAAACATCACCAATTAATTTTTATACATTGTTATTTTTTTAGGGACTGTCTATTCTACATCGGATGAAATCTAATTCGTTTTCAGTCATATTTTTTCAGCCAACTGAAGGATGATAACTGTCACCTGTCCCGTGTCCCCTGTTCTTTCTGCCTTGCACCTGCAAATCGGTTCTAAACAGGTCCACACAGCAAGCCATAAACGGGTCCACACATCAAACTATTCAAACCCGTACATATAAATCAGCTAAACGGGTTAAAAACTAACAAAAGGTGGACCAAGGTAACTACACGAGGAGGAAAAGGACCAAAACTGATGACATCTAACCACACTAAATTACCGCTGCTGCTGCTGTGAATCAATTATACAAAGGGCTAAAATTACACTAGTAATTATAGTGTAAAAACCACGGAAAATGCACAGTAATTCCACCAAAAATACACTGTAATTCCACTTGCAAATACAGAGCAAAATCCATTAAGATTTACAGTGTAAATTCCACTGTTGTTCCACTAATAATTACAGTGTAAAAGACAATTGAAAACACTAAAAATACACTGTAATTCCACTAAAAGTACACTGTAATTCCACTAAGATTTACAGTGTAAATTGCACTTAAAAACACAAAAGAATTACACTGTAATTCCACTGACAAAGTGCTAAATTTACCCCCAGAGAAGCGCCACCAGACAGGGCGATTTCTCCATGATCTGGGACACAAACATGGTTGGAGAAGCAAAAAAATCACAGGTAAACACCCCCACCTCCTGTGCATTCATCACCTCCTGTTGTCTCTCTCCTACCTGAACAAATGTGGAAGACGAAACAGACCTGTAGTGGTTCATTACATAGGCTAAGTTAATCACAAAATCTACACAGATCAAAAATAAGAACATAATCACACAAAAGCATGAACCAGGAGAAACCCTAAGAACAACTAGGGTATGGTCACATGAGCTAGTAGTCTATGATCACAGGAAAACGGATAACTAGATGCCCAGACCATGGGTTTCTGAATTTGCAGAAATAAACACACTACAGGTACCAAAACATGCTTAGGAAGTTAGCAATTCCATTTTGGGAAAACTTAAAAACATATAAGGGGGTGGATTGCTCCAGTTCAGAGAAAATATGACTATTTTCACAAACTTTGGAAACTGAAAAACTAAACACTGTTAAGAAACTTTGATCTACTAGTTTTAGACACTTTCTACCTGTTCTTAAATAGCTGTGATTGAAGGACTGGATTTAAGTAACATTCGAAGTGTAAAGTGTAAACTACTATGATCTGATGCTTCCTTATACTGAATATTGATATGCATCAACATAAGCACTGAAAATTGAAATTAACAAAAAAAAAGGACAAACACAATCAGGCAAAAAGCATTGACACTAGAAGGCACTCACACTAGTAGCAAAAAACAAAAAGAATCTATAAAACTGATAACATATTTACACTGTAAAATCCATTAGGAATTACACTGTAAAATCCATTGGGAATTAGAGTGAAAATCCACTAGGAATTACACTATAAATTCACTTGAAATTACACTGTAAATCCAATAGGAATTACACTATAAAATCTATGTTTGTGCGCATGAATCCACTAGGAATTACACTGTAAATTCACTAGAAATTACACTGTAAATCCAATAGGAATTACACTATAAATCTATTTTCATGCGCTTGTGGAATTGTTTTCATCCACATGAAAAATAGCAATTTGGTTTCAGTCAGATATTTCCAACCCATGGGAGCTTGACAATTGTTTGTCTATGTTTCTACTTGTCGTTTCTATGTCCATGGCAAAATTTCCTACTGGCCCCACTAAACAATAACGGGTTTAATCCATCCAAATACCAACCTGATACTTGAAAAAATTCAGGCTTGTCTGCAAAATGAGTTGCTTCAGTCTTCCACTAAATAGGAATCACAGGTAAACAGCCCCATCTTTGCATTCACCCCACACTTAGCATGATTAAGACCGATCTCTCTCCTGCTTGTCTACATCTGAAAAGAAACAAGGACGTCTATGAATCATTACATATATATGCTGCAGGGACAAAACCTCACTTACATGCTGTAGGGACAAAACCTCACTTACATGCTGCAGGGACAAAAATGAACTCTGGAACTCTACATATGTGACACAAAAAATACACCAGAACCAGGAAGAATATTAGGACCAAGTAGTCTAGGGGGCAGAAACAGAAAAAACTAGTTGCAAGTTTCTGAATTCATAACTACAGTTACAGCACAAGGCCATAGGAAAAACAGATAAGGGGTCACATATTCAGGAAGATATGAACAAAAGAGGTTAAGAAAATGCTTGAAAAAAGGCTAGGAATGCAGCACTAATGAGGTAGCTAACTAACCTAAACCAGGAATTCATGCAACACTAATGAACTGGAATATATTAGCGCTGATAAGGAAGGCGAGTTACAGGTAAAATTACACTAAACTACAGAAAGATTTACACTAAAACTACACTGTAAAATGCACAACTCATGCACTGTAATTCCACTAAATTTACACTGTAAAATGCACAGTTCATACACTATAATTCCACTAAATTAACACAAATATTCCAGCAATTACACTAGTGAGGTTAGTTACACTACAATTTACAGTGTAAATACACTGCATTATAATTACACCAAAATGATACAGTAATTACACTAGAAATTTATAGTAATTGCACTAAGAACTCCACTATGAATTACAGAGTAAATTCAAAAATATTAGATGGAGTCATTACAGTAAAAGAATCCACTAAGAATTACTCCCTCTGTAAACTAATATAAGAGCGTTTAGATTACTATTTTAGTGATCTAAACGCTCTTATATTAATTTACAGAGGGAGTACAATGTAAAAAACACTGACAAAAGACTAACCTAAAATTACACTACAACTTACACTTTAATTTCACTTACAAAGATAGAGTAAACTAACCTAAAAACACTAGTGCCCTCCCTCCTATTTGGTTGGAAGTTTCCTGCTCAAGTTGAGAAAGAAAGGGGTGACCGAACTGCTGCTCACTCTCGAGCTTCAACGGCAGTATTGTCTCCATCTTTCGCCCACCCTGGGTTAGGGGTTAGGGGTAAGGGTTATCTTCTGAAAGAATCTCTTGTATCAGCAGATACAAAAAAATCGGTTGCAATATTATCATATAGAAATGTGAATCGAGATGCATCTGGATGAGAGTTTGGCTTTCTTTTGGCAACAATAACACTGTGATCTCACTTACAAGTGTCATTAAAAATTAAGATTTACAGAGTAAGTCAAGTGATAAGAAAAGGACACTCCGGAGCAATCACAAATTTACACAAGTTTAAGCTCAAATTACAATAAAATAGCTCTCATATTACACTAAAAATACTCACAAAATACAGTTGACTAACAGTGGAAAAATACACTCTGAAACAATATACTACAGGAAATACAGAGCTATATCACTGGAAAAGCAAAAAAAATTGCATTGGTATACAGTGGAACTCACCAAAAATTATAATAGTAAACCAGCAAAAATACTACTGGAATTACAATCAACAGCAAATACTAAAAATATTGAAATTACAGAGCTAAATCCCTATAACCATTGTAATTACAGACTTAATCAATAAAAAATACACTACTAAGCCACTGGAAATGTAGAGTTTTCACTGCGAAAATAAAGCAAAAAATACAAATGTTTACAATGGAACTCCCCTATAATTAGGGTAGACCAAATACAACAGAGAGAGCAATCCCTTCACCTCACCGACCAAAATCAAACTCAGCTAGGACTAAGCATACCAGATCTAAAAATTAACAGCCACTGCCAGAGATAACTAAACTAAAATCAAGATGGTAACTAACTAAAAAGGGCAACTACAACTAAGATTCAAATGAACTGACTGAAGAAACCCTAGGACACGAACATGTAGAATCACCAACGGTATAGAATCATGCAAAATAAACGGTCGCCTGATGAAAGGGAAACAGAACACGAGCCCTACACTTCACATCACACATCACAACACTCGATCCCCTACGCATAACATCACATAAACGTACATATCCTAGCACACAAGCAACCCACAGATCTGAGCAACAGGGAACCGAAAGGGAAGCAGCAACAGAGGAGAGATGAATCGACAGGGAGAGAAAAAACCTACCATACCGCCTGAAGAACTCCGGCCGCCTGACCACCAAGCCCTCAAGCAGGCACCGAAGGAGAACTCCCAATCGAATTCGCCATGAATCAAGCTCTCTGACTCACCAAGGTCTCCGCCGCTGGAAATAGAAAGGGGAAGAGACGAGGGGGCGAGATGAGTGAGCTACAGGAAAGCGAATAGAATAAAAGGAAAAAGGAAACGGCACCCAGCGAGAGGGCGGCGGGCGCGCCCGATTAACGAATCTCTCGGCTCTCGCTGAAAATTATGCGGGCCCGGTAACAACGGCCAGCTCGGAAAAAAAGAACAAAAAATGAATCTCAACAAAACGATCAAACGGACAAGAAAACGAATGAACTGGAATTGATTTCATCCGGCTGAAAAATAGCGATTCCCTTTTTTTATTTTATTTTTTTACGTAGTAATACATGTCTCATTAATTTTTATACACTGTTATTTAACGCCAATGATTCCAACAAGTTATCAGAAATCTACTCCATAAATACCTTGTTTCTACAGAACAATACAGTAGATGGTTCACTCAGCACTTGTAGACTGAAGAGATAAAGTGAAGGCCTAAAGTGAATATGTACTTCTCAATGAACTGACAACACTTTCTACTAGTATGGAACCAACAACAGGTGAATCCCAAATCAGCTATCTCCAGCTCTAATGTACTTTTCACAACAGGTGAACCAACAATATGTACTTTTCAATGAACTAACAACACTTTCTACGTAGTAAGACACTGACTTTTCACATACAAAAAACATCAAAACAACTATCCCCAGCTTGGAACAGGTCGGCTGCCCATCCCCAGCTCTGTCTCCCC